GAGCTGCAGCCTCATCCAGTGTGTGTGATGTTGTGTTCATGTGTGTGTCTGTTCATACAGCAGATTCAATTCTGGATATTTCATTTGTCCCTGAAGGCAGCACACACACACACACACACACACACACACACACACACACACACACACACACACACACACACACACACACACACACAATTATTCTGTCAGTCTAAACACAAAGTGAACTGTTTCCACTGCTGCTACGTCTCTGATCACTTTATTAGGAACACCTGACTGACACTGGGCCGTCCCTCAGTCCTTCAGGTCATGGATCCACAGATGTTGAACTTTCCTCTGAGACTGAACGATTCATCTAATTTCATTTTCCAACGATAATGAAACAAGATCATGGAGGTAAAACGATTATTGTGCCGCATTCATCTCGAGCAGTTTGTCAGTTCAGAGACTTTCTATACAGTCTGGAGAGACCACGCCCTGTGGTGGGGAGACTGAAGGGGGGGGGGGCACTGATGTTCCCTGATGAAAGCAGCAGCTGCTCACACAGACACCTGCAGCTCAGACTGTCTCTGAAATAATAAGGATCATGATGTTTATGTCCGCACACAAAAAGCAAAGAGAATTCAGATTTCAGTCTTTAACCCGAGTTCACTAAAACCAGGTCAGCTGGACTGATCCCAGACCTGATCTGACCTGAGGCTCAAAAGCAAAAACCTGTAAAAACCAAAAACTACAAACCTTATTTAATCTTCAGGTGCAGAGTTCATTCGGGGATCAGAGCGGGTTCCTCTGCTTCTCATTTATTCATGTCACAGAGAAGACAGACAGACATGAAACTAAATATTAAAACCACTATCTGTCCCAGATCCAGATCTGGCTCCATCTCACACAGGTTCTGTCTCTGTCTCCTGATCTCAGGTCAGATTTAACTTCACTGTTTTATTCATGTCAAAAAGAAAGTGAAGTACATCCTCTCTCTCTCTCTCTCTCTCTCTCTCTGGGTTACATAAGCTCTCTCACTCTATTTCTGGACCGAGGATCTCTCAGAGAAGCTGCCGAGTCAGTGGGACGGCTAAGAATAACTGCAGACATCTGATTGGTTGACAGCATGCCACTCCCTCTGCATACGTAATGAGAGGGGAGACGGAGGGCTGAATGAAAACCGGCAGACAGGACTCAGAGACAACTTTATTCACTGTTCAGAGTGTGGAGGAAAAATCATCTGATTGGTTAACTGGGCCGTCACATTTAAATAAGGAACAAAGCCGATCAATCGCAGTGTTGGCGCTCTCTGATTGGTTGCAGAAATATTCTACCAGCACTCCAGGAGCTTTGAGAGTCCTTTAGGAGGTTCCAAGGGTCCGACTGGAGGTTAATGAATCCTTAAAAAAGTTCCACAGTTTCCTGAGGTCAGAGTTGAGGTTGAGTGGGAACCCAGTGAGGCTACAACACTTACTCCTCCTTGAGAGTCTTAACCTAAGGTCCTGGTGGAGGTTCCAGGGTTCTCCAGGAGGCGAGTGAAGTAAGTGATCAAGCTTTAGAGGTCATTGAGAAGTTTCCACTGGCACTAAAAAGGCCTTGTGGAGATAAAAGAAGTCCTTAAGAGAAGATTATATAGAGATCACGAGTTCTTGTGTAAAACTTGTAGGACGTTCCTTTGGGGAGGGTTCGGGGTCTGAAGTTAGGGGTTCTTGCGGAGGTTCCAGGGGTTACTGAAGTCATTGATGAAGTTTTCCTGAACCTTTAAGACCTTCTGATTGTCCATGAAAAAGTACCAGAGGTCCTTGAAGAGGTAAAAGAACATTTGAAAGGGATTAAAGAGGTCCGTGAAAAGATTCTAGGGTTCCTACAAGAGGTTCTATTGTTTCTGTGGAGGTCAAATATAAGGTTCCAGCTTTCCTTAAGGCTAGCAGAGGTCCTGGGCTCATTGAGAAGTTTATGGCAGTCGTCGAGGAGTTACCTTGAGTCGTTTTGGAAAGAGAAGGTTCCAAAGGACCTGGAGGAGGTTGTTAAAGTCACTAAGAAGGAGTTGTAAGAGGCTCTTGAAGAGATTTCAGAGGTTTTTTAGAGAGTTGCTGAGGTCATGAGGACGGTGATATAGAACATTCAAGAGGTTCTCAAGGAAGGTCTAGAGGTCCCTGAGGAGATCCTATGGGTCTGAGAGTGTTTTAGACATCTTTGAGTCCTTCAGGAGACCCTGGAGGTCCGAGGGGTGATCCTTGAGGACCTGGAGGAGGATTTTATGGGTTTTATCCAATCTTGAAAGCGATCTAGAGGAATGGGGGTTTTAGACGTTCCTTGAGGAAGGTGTAAAGATCACTAAGGAGATTCAGGGTACTTGAGGACGTCGTGCACATGCATGAGGAGGTTGTGTATGTCTCCTTGAGGAGCGTGGAGAAGAGCTTCAGGAGATCGTATACATCCTTCAGACGACAGTAGAGTTCCTTGAGAAGGGTGTAGTGTTCCTCGGGGAGGTGTTACAGGACTTTGGGGAGGATGTAGAAGTCCTTGAGTAAATTAACTGTAGCTGAATGTAAGCAGTAGAACTGTTGCTATGGTTACCTGCAGTTTAATATCGAACCATGATTAAGCTGTTGACCTGAATGGTGTCTGGGGTGATTCTGTCAGCCAATCAGAGAGCAGGATTCTCTGAGGTCATGGTATATTTAAGTGCCATGTGACCTGGAAAAGACAGATGTGTGACACGGTCTCTCATCCAGCTGTGATCGAACAGTCACGTGATCCTGAGCAGAGAAGAACTGGTTGAACTGGTCGCACTGGTTTTTATCTCCCCCACAGCAGAAACCTGGACGACCTCCAGCCTCTGCAGAAACATCAGACTGAGCGCGTGCAGCCTCCTGACCCCGATAACACACATCCTCACCTCGCTCACACTGTAATTATCACCACGCTCACTGCTGCAGCGCCGCAGACCAGAGCAGAGCAGAGCGCGCATCCTGCTGCAGCGCCACGAGTCCCACCGCCGCTCAGCCACAGAGAGGAGACGAGTCAGGACCATTCATCTCCGCTGACAGACACAGAGAGACGGCGATAGAAACAGGAGAGGTGGAGGAGGGAAGCAGCCAGGCAGAAAATTCACATTTTACAGTTTTATCAGCCGGAACGATGTGAAGAACGAAGCGTGGAAACTCTGACAGCTGGGAAGAGAGGAGGGACGGATTCACGGACAGACAGAGGAATAGATTTCTTTCTCTTCAGCTTGTTTCAGTCAGACGCAAAAAAAAGTCTCTCATTTAGCATTTCTGTCATCGGAGTTTACACTTCATCCACTGAGCAGCTGATACAACAAACAGAAACCTTCGCTAAGTTTAGCAACGATCGATCACTCTGTGAGAACGGGAAAAAACTACAACTGGCACAAAGAAACTACAACCGCAGCAGAAGTGACCACGCCAACAAAATAACCTTTAGCTTCTGTCTAATTATAAAACATCAACACGTGGAGGAAACCAAGAAGAAGAAGAAGGGATTTTATAGTTAAGGTGCTAGGTGGTGGTGATGATGATGATGATGATGATGGTGATGATGATGATGATGATGATGATGATGATGATGATGATGATGATGATGGTGATATCTCAGTAACACCTTGAAGGAACTTCTTCAAATTTGGCAAAAATATTCGCCTCAACTCAAGGATGAGCTGATTAGATTTTGGTGGCTAAAGGTCAAAGGTCAAGGTCACGGTGACCTCAGAAAACAGTTTTTAGCCATGACTCAAGACTTCACAAAGCAATTATGACAAAATTTCACACAAATGTTTTATGTCTTATGACTGTGGACAAACAGGGATGTGACCTGGAACTAGTCTGAGTGGCGGAGGGATACGACCACGAGGAGGTGAACACTACATTTCAACTTCAAAATAAGACAAAGATCGTCGGATGGAACAGGTTTTGTACTGTTACTGAAAACGAACTAATATGATTAAAACAAAGTTTAAAAAATAACCACTAAATAAATAAATTTTGCAGCTTGCCCCTGTCCAATCAGATCAGCTGAAAGCCCCTCAGGGGCGGGGCTTCAGGACTGCAGAGTCAGAGAAGCTGCTGCTTTGACTGAGTTTTCTTATTGTTTGTGTTTACTGCACTACAACATGTTTACCTCGATGACGGAGACAGACAGCCGTCTGATGACTGACAGCTGCTGCTGTGGTTACCTAGCAACAACACCAAAGAAATACAAGCTGCTCTGACTCATGGGGGGGGGGGGGCACTTTATTTTTAGTGTCCTGTGTTCTATAAAAAATCATTTCCTGGAGATAGAAGAATGATCTGGTGATTCGATGGTAATTACAGAGAACGTGTTCGAGCTGTAAACTGCAGGTTGTTGTGTGGCGGTCGACGTGATCATCACTGACATGAATCACAACTGGAGTTGTTGTAAGAGCGACCACCTGTTCCTCCACCATGTTTGCGTCCTGCGGGCTTCAGGCTGCAGCTGCTGGTGGACGGAGGCTGAAGGAGCCTGCGGAGCTCAGAGCTGACGTCTTACATAAGCACACTGTACGCTGTATTATTCCCTCCTAATCCTCACACGGGGAGAGATAAGTCTCCCCGAGGTGGGATCTCTGCTGCTGGAGACGAGCTGCTGCACGTTAACGTTTCCTCGCTCTTTGATCCGAGTCGTCCTGTAAAACCCGAACAGCTGATCCACGTCTGATCGTCCTCCTGCTCTTTGATCTCACCATCAGCAGCTCTGGGTCTTTTTAGACTGAAGAGACGGAGCAGAGACGAGGGGCGGGGTCAGACCTGCTGCGTCGCCACGCTGGTAAAGTGACGTTTATGTCGATGTTATATTTTTCTATCTTCCATCACTGAATTGTTTTTATCTGATGATTCACACTGTAACTTCAGACAAATAAATATTGTGAAGCGACCGTCTCTGGTTTCATGAGTTTAACTTCTTTTACCTTCCACAAAGACTGAGCTTCAGCTCCCCAAGAATTCAACTTCCTGGAGGATTTAGTGGAAAAGTAGCAAGTGAGACTCAACACAGACCTGGACACTGTGAGAACATAGAACATAGAACATATAGAACATACAGAACATAGAGAACGTAGAGAACGTAGAGAACGTGGCGGGGCGGCGGCTCGTCTCTCTGCCCGAGCATCATTAGGGAGATTAAATCTCATACACTCGTTATTTTCTCTGCTGCAGCTCGAATGACTAACCACGTCCTGCATGAATCACACACACACACACACACACACACACACACACACACACACACACAGTGGGTCTATATCTGTGTCAGTGTGATGAGTGAGAGGACGTAAACTTCCTGTGCCTCTGTATGAATCACAGCCAAACACACAGTCAGAGCCATAAACATGATCCATGTGACACTAACACACACACACACACACACACACACACACGCACACACGCACACACACACACACACACAGAGCACGTCAGCGTGTGTGAACACATCACGCGTCATTACAGCGGAGAAACGGCGTTCACACACCGGCGGCCATATTTATCTCTCCATCATCTCAGCTCCCAGCATGCACTGGGACAAGATGTACTTAATATTCATCCCCCTCTCCTCTCCTGTTTCCTCCTCAGTTGACTGTGATGTAATCCCGCAGTGACGTTAGATGTTGATAATTGGTTGAATGTAGGTTGTGATGTCACAGGACCAAAGTTAAACGTCAGGGCGTCTCACGCCAACATCAATCTGACGTTGTTACCTTATCAAAATCCAACATCTTCCCAATGTCTCAAGCCAACGTCGTCTGCTAAACATCTGCTCAACATCTGCTAAACATCTGCTCAACATCTGCTAAATATCGATCACTTTCATCTTCAGAACAAAGTCCCGTCCGACACAAACACTTCAACACGTCTGTGAAGCCGGAGCCACTGTCACGTCCTGAAGAAACACACCTGAACTTCCTGTCTCAACACTGATCAACTTCCTGTAACAGAGAAACGTTTCCTTGTTCATCACACAAACAGGAAGTGGAACTGCAGCTGTCACTTCTCTACCTGATTCCTGGAGAGTTTGTCTTCTTCTCTGTCTTCTTCTCCTCTTCTTCTTCTCCTCCCACAGTCAATCCAAGCAGACATGGGTTCATTTCTTCAGCTCAGTGTTCAGTGGAACAGAAAAGAGCCCGTCACAGAGATGTTCGCAGAGCAGTGACGTGTCACTCTGCCGTCTCCACCTCCAGTCCGCTCCAACCGGCAAAACAAGCGCGCCCAAACACGGTGAGAAGGAGGTCAAGAGTTCAACGTGTCGGTTCACCTGATCTGTGTTTGGAGGGATGTCTCACTCTGATCACGTTTCATATTCATCTTTCTTCTTCTTCTCTTGATGTGGTTTGTTTTAGATCCTGTCGAGGTCAGGGTCCAAATTTCCACATGTGAACTTCATATCCTGTTTCAAGAACCTGGATCAAACTTTATCCTGCACACGTGTACACAGCTGCTCCAGATGTCTGAGCCATCAGAACCAGATCTCTCTGTCCATGTAGACGTCAGATCCCCGGTCTGAACAGAACCAGGACCAGGACCAGACTCATGACCAGGACTCTGTGTCTCCGCTGCCAACTCCTCCTCCTCCTCCTCCTCCTCCTCCTCCTCTCCGTCGAGCAGCCGACTGGCAGCAAACGGGAGGTGGGCCAACAGCGCTCCCAGTAATGTGCTGCACTCCATCCTCATTACTGCACATTAACACTTATTAACACAGTAAACCCACAGCTAATGGCTTGATAAACACAGGAACACATCGGGAAGAGGGGGGAGGGGTCCGGGGGGGTGGGGGGGTAACAATGGCGGAGTGAGCGGCGTTTCCTGGTTGCGAGGAAACTCTCCACAGCTGGGAGAGAGAGAGTAATTAAGAAACAATTATAATTAATCCCAATTTCCCCGAGAAGGTAAAGTGAGAACAGGTCAAATATGGAGAGTTAATGATTTCATCAAAGTGCACATGCGCACGCACGCACGCACGCACGCACGCACGCACGCACGCACGCACACACACAGATTGTTTTCTTCTACAAAGACAAATTCACGTCATCGTGTCCATGTGACCGTTTCTTCTGCAGAACAACCTGTAAAACATTTTAAGTTCTGATTCTAAAATATGAAAATTTAAGTTTCACTTTCAGCTGAATCGACTGAATCCAACCTGGATATTTACATCGAGGCGATGACAGAAGATGAGCTGGTGTTCTACAGAGCAGCTGATGGACGCCGCTCGGTAAAACATAAGAGTGACTCACTGTCGACACGTGATGATTCTCCATGTGCAGTTTGACTTTCATTAAAATCAGGTTCAACCAGCAGCTTCCTCAGAGGCACAGTGAGACCTGACGGATGGTTCGGAGCTCAGAGGAAACAGGATCTGCAGACAACAATCACAGATGAACTGCAGCCTCCATCTTTCCTCCCTGTTGCGGCTTTTAAACAGCAGCCGATGTTTTATTGTCCTGTGTGTTTTGCAGCGTCCTCAGTGTGTGTGAAGCTGAAGCCTCTTCACTGTCATCGCTGTAATCAGACTAAAGAACACCTACAGGCTGTTGTCTCTGGATCTGCGTCCTGCCGCCAGGACTCCCGCCGCCCGATGCTGCTGTTTGTTGTCGGTGACGACGAGGCGTTCGCTTATAATCCTCAAGTTTTGGATAATCCGGATCTTCCGTGCCGAGAGGAGGTAGACGGGGGGGGGTCCAGATTTCTCCGAGGCCACGAGGCTCAGTGGGAGTCTTCAGTTCAGCTGAGTTTATCTGGCGTTAAAGAGGAAAACAACGCAGATTTATGACGTCAGAGGAAGAGGACTGCGCTGACAGTCAATTTCTGCTGCCACCCTCAGCCTTCAGGACTGGGCCTTCTTCCCATCATCCTCACTGGGGATGAGTTAGTCTGGATCCAGACCAACACATCTGCCCCACATCCACATGAGTCATCAGCTGCTTCTGAGCCAATTAGAGCTTTAAAGGAAGGAAACTTGAGAAATGTCAGAAACGTCAGTCTGAGTTCTGTTTGGTCGATTAAATCACTGATCAACGTCTTTTTCCTTCTTCTTTCTTCCAGCTGGTCTCACTTCAGTCCAAAGAAATCATCACACAGAGGGAAGACCCATCAGTCCCTGTTGATTAGTGCTGCACAATTAATAGAAACATAATCAAAATCGTATTAAATGTCAAATCCAACTCACAGGAGCGTCTCTGATGAAGGTAAAATGAGTTGTTGCATTGTTGGCATCATCAGTGTTGAGGAGACGGACGTGAAGCACCTGACCCAATGTTTAAATCACAATGTGCCCTGACACAGTTTCACATATATAACCAGGATTACAACACACACACACACACACACACACACACACACACACACACACACACACACAGTTTGTCCACCAGCAGAAAACCATTAGCTGACACTGACTGACACAGTGTGTGTGTGTGTGTGTGTGTGTGTGTGTGTGTGTGTGTGTGTGTGTGTGTGTGTGTGTGTGTGTGTGTGTGTCTGCTCCCTGTCACCTTCTGTTACTCCCCCACAGTCTGCCACAGCTGCAACAGGAGCTGTCAATCAACACACACTTGACACTATCTGTTGTGGTGTGTGAATTTGTGTATTTCTGTGTGTGAGTGTGTGTGTGTGTGTGTGTGTGTGTGTGTGTCTTCCATTGTTGTGAACGTTTACAACTATTTGCATTATTGCACTATTTACAACACAACCGAGCGGGAGAGACCATGAAGATGATGAAGATGATGAAGATGATGAAGATGATGATCAGAGAATGTAAACTGACTCTTTAAATTGATAAAAATGTACATGAGTTTTTTTTTTTAATAACTTCATTTAAAACATTCTCTTAGTCTCCGATCGCCTCGATGATCAATAATCAACAGATCAATCAGGGCTGAAAACAGTGGTCAGCTGCAGCCGTTTTGTCATGAATCAATCGATCAATAAACTTGTCAATAAACTGAAAAGAATAATCGATTATGGATGAATGGATGAATCAATTAGACAATCAATCTTTAGAGAAGTTGAATATTTGTTTTTTTCTTCCGAAGACGATTTAATTAATTAATCGATTATTGAAATAGTTTCAGATTAACTTTCTGTCATCGATGTAAATTGATAAAAATGTACATGAGTATCATCATCCTCATCATCATCATCATCCTCATCATCATCATCATCATCACCATCCTCATCATCATCCTCATCATCATCATCATCCCCATCATCATCATCATCATCATCCTCNGTCCGATGGACGGCCTGAGCTCCGGCTTGAATTTGACTTCTGAATAAAAAATAATCTCGTTCTGTCTCCATGTAGCCTGTGAAGAATTAAAATGGCCACTAAACATCTCTGTTAATTTTTTTTTTCACTGGTTTCAAGCCAAGCAGTTCATTGCAAAAGTTCAGCACACTCAATCTGACCCAAGCCCAGTGTGTCACATGCAGTCCAGGCAAATCCCAGTTTCAAGGATAAATGTCAAACTCCTGCAAAGATGCTGGACAGAATTTGCTGATGACACTGTTTCTGCTGGACCGGGGATTCCACTCTGGACACTGATGGCAGGAAGAAGCAGTGTGTTGTGGGTGAAGTGAGAAATACATATCGTTTTGATGGCATGGGCAGTTAGCTCTGTTAAGTGCCCCCCCCCCCCTGTTTCCCCCCACCCCCCCCCCCCCCCCCTGCAGCTCGTCATCAATCATCAGTGAAACAGAGCCGTCAGCTGACTGGACAGTGTGGATGTAAGTAACGCTCAGTGTGATGTAATACGCCTCCTCGCCCTCTAATCTGTGACATATAAGATTACAGATAATCTGAGTGTGTGATGACGTCACACACAGGACAGATGACTGACAGGAAACACTCCGTGCCTCTGTGCTGATCCTGAATCAGTGTCAGGACGTCGTACAGGAGACAACAGCTGACAAAATTTAAGTTTTGTATTAAACTGAACATTTGAAAACAGTTTATTTTCTTACTTTTTCTTTTTAAGTTTTTTTTTTTTGGGTCATTTTTGTGTCTTTATTCGATAAAAAAGGAAACCTTGCAGGTTGAGGACACGGCTAGCTCTGAGCCTCTCTTCTGATTGGCTGACTGCTTCGTTGTGACATCACAAAGTTCCTGGACTGAGGCTTTGATACTTTCACAGTATTAATATAGAACCTAGACCGGATCTATAATCACACTACACAGATCCACCAGGAGCAGCACCTGGTGACAGTGAGAGGAAAGACAGCAAGAAGTCCTCCAACAGAACCAGACTGTGGAACATTAATGCACAGAACCAGGATCCGTTGGACTCACAGAGCTTCAGTTGTCAGTGTGAACAGCAGGAATGATTCCTGGGGTTATGAAGACTGTGAACCAGAACCATGTCTGAGTCTGAAGATTTTCACAATAAAACGCTTCAGGTCAGGGCTCCTTCATGTGACTGACTGACTGACTGACTGACTGACTGACTGACTGACTGACTGACTGACTGACTGAACTCCATATCACACCTCCGAAGGACAGTACAGTTCAGTTGACTTGAAGTCCCTGCTGCAGATATTACAGCAGCTTTACCGTGACAAACAGCATGAAGACGGGCGAAAGCTCCATGAGCTCACAGCCACTTTACAGCTGCACCATCAGAAATCACTAGAATCACCGCTCCGGGTTCGATGCCTCCACCAACCAGTGAAGTGACAGGACACGTGCTCACAGTCTGCGTCCTTACGGGGACGCATCGCTCAGAGGACGTGGTGACGAAGGTGTAGACCGCGAAGGCCGAACTGAAATGAGACGGTCTGGTCTGATCTCGTTTCACTCGTTGCGTCACCAGCTGTTCCCGCCCTCACCGTTGCATAGCTCCTGTCGCCCAGCAACCTTCACAACATGTAACTTTTTGCCACTAAGACTTGAGGTTTTAAGTCTCTTGGTTTTGGTTTCTCTTGGAGCTGAAACACAGTATTTACTCTGTCAGGGTTGTTTGCTCACATATTATTTTCAGTACCGGAGAGCAATGAATCTTGGGATATGTAGGATCCACCTGTTGGAGCCTTCATTGTCCAGGAAAAGAAGTGTGAAGTCACACTGACCTTGACCTTTGACCTTTGACCGCCAAAATCTAATCCAGTGGGTCCCAGCCTGTGGGCCGGGGACCATTGCTGGGCCGTGAAGGTATTGCACGTGGGCAAACGAATCATTTGCAAAATGGTACAATTTTGTTGAAAGGACATAATTACTTTAAAAAAAATAAAAATTTAAATAATGTTTTTGATATAATAATAATGTTTTTAAATGTTTTAAAATGAAATGATCTTTCAAAACATTAATAATGTTTAAAAATCCGTCGTATCAGGATGAACAGCTGGTTAGCAACAGGGAGAATTAAAAAGAAAGATGGTGAATCGACAAGTGATCAAACAAAAAGAAAAGTTGATCTTTCAGTTCAGTCCTGAAGGTTTGATCGTTATTCAAACAGAACGTGCTGAGGACGTATCACCTGGCCTCCGCGCTGTCACAGCGTCAGATACGGGCCTCCAACATTTTAGAGATTTTCAAGTGGCCATGAGATGGAAAAGGTTGGAAACCTCTGATCTAATCAGTTCATCGTGAGCGTGAGTGAATGTTTGTTCCTGAGAGAACAGGGCGGACGGCCTGAAGCCTGTCGCTGGAGCAGAGACATAAAAACCTCCATGAGTTG